ATTTGCACATCTAACCTTTGGCAAAGGGGGGGGGGGGTGAGAGACCCACTCTCCCACACACATGTACACACACATGTACACACACACACACACACACACACACACACACACATACACATACATACACATACACACCCGTGACGAGGAGGGCGTCGACGTCGGCCATGATGTCCTTGAACATGTCTTGTTGGAAAGGAAGCAGGCCTGCCTTGGGATCCAGCCCAAACTCGCCCATGTTGTCAATCACTGCATCCTTCTCCTCCCCGCTCACACCACCACCCTGCCTGCTGCCCTCATCCTCAGCCATCACCACCACACGCGAGCCACAACAGCCGTGTGTGCGTGTCAAACAACACACACACACACACACACACACACTGCAAGCAAGGAAACACGACTTCTGCTGCTTCTCGCGCTCTGTCACCCAAATGGCCATTGGTGGACATTTTTCGTAGCTTTTCTACAAGCACGTTGACGAATATGGGACGGCGCAAAGGCAAAGGCGGCGGTGGTGGCAAGGGGAAGGCGAAGAAGGGCGGTGCACGTGGTGGTGGTGGTGGTGGTGGTAGTAACAGCAAACGCAGCGGCATTGGTGGCGGTTCCTTCAAACTCAAGGCGGGAGGTGCTGGCAAGCGTGGCAAGAGGGTACGTGCATGCATACGTGTGTGAGTGTGTAGTGTGTGCATGTGTATGTGTGTGTGCGTGTGTGTGCACGTGAGGAAGCCTTGTCATGCATGTGTCCTTACGTGAACGTCGTTGTGAACCCACGTTTGTTTCCACAAATACACACACGTGAACGTCGTTGTGAACCCACGTTTGTTTCCACCAACACGCTCACACACACACACACACATACACACACTCACAAACACACACCCACACACTCACTCACGCATATACGCATACATGCACACGTTAGGTGAAGGAAATGTCGTTGAACCTGGCAAGTGCCGTTGATTCGTCGTTGGTCAAGTTGGAGAAGAAGAAGGTCGTGCAGAAGGTGGAGAAGACCAAGCAGCAGGAAGCAGAGAAGCAACAGGCACAGGCGAAACTACAGGACGCCGTACAGACCCAGCAGAACATGGACGACATGCTCAACACGCTCACCTCCTTCTGAGCAGCGTGTTTCGCACGCGACTTGTCGCGCGCTCTCTCTCTCTCTCCCTCTCTGTGTCGGTTTGAGAATGTGACGTGCTATTGCTGCTTTTGCTCTTTTCTCTTTCTTATTTCTTGTCTTCCCTTTTCCTTCCTACTAGGTCACCTGTTTTGCCGCATACACCACCTTTCCCGACACCTTCTGTTTCATTTTCGCTTTGGTTCTGGTTACAATTACACGAAACCGATGTGCTGTGCACGTGTGTATGCTCGCATAGTGGCGTGAAATCAACGGCCCGGGGGGGGAGGAGAGGTTGCAATGAGAATGAAGCGCACGGAGCACACACATACACATACGCGAGCAAGCGGAGCACACGGAGCACACACACATATGCGAGTAAGCGGAGCACACAACACACACACACACACACACAACACACACACACACACACACACACACACAGGACAACCCATCCACCAAACAACCAAATCAGCACACGAGTGTCAAAACCGCGAGTTGGGGGGGGGGGGAGTAACGTAACGAGGTGACACGCCACGTGTCTGAAGTTGTGGGATGCATCACATCATGCAACGCTCTCCGTCGTGCTGAGCAGATATGAGTACTCTGCATTTTGGCGCCTGCAGTGCATGCGTGTATGCGTATGTGTGGATGGATGGACAAGGGAATACACCAAGCGAGTGAGTCATGACTCTTGGGTGTGGGGCTTGGTGACTCGGTGTACGTGTGCAAGAAGACAACGAGATGGAAACAGCTCTGCGTGTGCATGAACAAGACAAGACATGCACTCCACCCCTCCATCCGCCATGGTGCAGGGTACGTACTCTTGGATGCCGCAGCACTTGCGCTTGAGGTACGTCAGCCCAAACGCAATGTAGAAGAACACAACGTGCAGCGCAAACATGCCCGCATACCTGCAGCGATTGTGTGATGTGTGTGTGTGATATTGTGTGTGTATTATTGTATGTGTGTGTGCGTGTGATTGTGTGTGTGTGTGATATTGTGTGTGTATTATTGTATGTGTGTGTGAATAGTCATTGGAGTATACATGAAAACACGGAAATGCAGTCATGGTTGCACGACAAACCCTCCACATCACACATTCCCTGTTGACGGCCAACACTCTGTGCGCGTACCATGCGGGCGCAATCTTCTTGGAGGTGTCGAGGAAGAAGTACACGGGATCATCGCCCGTCGACGCAACATACGCCTGCACACGTGCATGGATGTAGGCATGTAGGCATGTGTGTGAGATGCAGGTGAAACCATGTTGTTTCTCACATTGTGACACACACACACACACATGCATACGCAATTCACACACACCACACACACGCCACCGAGCGCCTCACCCATTCGAAGACGCCATAAGCGATGAGCCAGTAGACGATGAACGTCGCGTGTGCGTGCACGAACACCATGCGGTTCAGCCCCAACTCCACCAGCATCAGCACCAGGTTGATGCCGTGCACTGACCAGCGTTGGGAAGACGACAGGGGAGAGAAGGGGAGGGTGAGCGAAGGAACAGACGGGCATGGAGTGTCGACGAGATGTGAAAAGCATGCGAATGTGCGACACACACACACACACACACACACACACACACACACACACACACACACACACACACACAACGCACCGACGATGCTGAAGAAGTTGATAAACTGCTCGCAGCAGCTCTCGTCGGACTTGTTCTTGGCCGTGGGATACAGCACCGTCCACAGAACCACATCTACGAGAATGGCCATTGTCATGCACACCTGTGGCAGTCGATGCACGCCCAATTGCGTGAGCGAGGCTGAAGCCACTCACAAACATAGTCACACACACACACACACACACACACACACACACACACACACACACACACACACACAAACAAGTATTCACACACCAACAACTCGCACATGCATCCCTCAACACACATCCAACATGCACCTGGAAGAGGACAAAGGTTGCGCGGTCGAAGAAGGAGACGTGAGCCACCTCGGACAGGAGGTAGCCGCGAAGGGCGGCGCGGATGCTTTGGCTCAACGCAAGGAAGAAGAACACGACCAACAACGTAAAGTTCCAAATCTGCAGCGGGTAAGGAGTAGGCGCGCGCATGTGTTAGTCGGTGCACGTGTGCTGCTGGGCATGTGCTGTTGCAAAGAGAAACGCAAACGCAAACGCAAATGCGAATGGAAATGCTAACACAACACACGCATGCACGCACACACACGCACATACATTCACACACACACAACACGCATACAACACACACACACACAACACGCATACAACACACACACACACACAACACGCATACAACACACACACACACACCGTGTAGAACTTGAAGCCCTGGCCCTCGGGGGTATCAACAAGGATCATGATGAGCACGGTGGCAGCAAACAGGAAGGAGACGAGGCGGGTGAAGAGAAGAATGCCCGGGTGTGGACCCGTGGTGTGTCCAATGGCATGCTGTGTACAGTGTTCCCAGTGGAACCAGCCCTTGCGAGCGCCCACAAAAGTCACGACAATGTTGCCAATGACAATGGCAGCCATCAGCACCCACAGCACAGGGTCAATCTCCATCGCGGCAGTGGTGGAACAAGCGAAGCACTGTTGTCCTGTGGTTGTTTGCCTGCTTGGTCGGTGTGGTCGGTTGGGTTGGCAAAGTGTGCGCGTGGGATGTGTGTCGCCAACAACCGCAACAACGAATGTGTGATGAATCATCGATGACTCATCATGTAGACTGAATTCAGTTCTTACGCATGTTGTTAGACGTGCATCGAATTCATGCGTGGCAGT